GACCATTTTCATCCTCTTTCTAGACTCTAAAAATTAAATGGCTATTATTTATTTATTTATTTATTTTTGTCACGTCCTCTTTGCATGTACAATGAGTAATATTGCTTTTTCTTTTACAGTATTATCTGTGGCTTTGATGTTGGGATCAATACAATTTTAATTGTCTTATTCTTTAGTAACTGACTCACATTATGATAAATTAATCAAATAATTCATTCTGAAACCTGCTGCATAATTGTTTGGTCAGATTGTGTTATTTTATTATAATTGAGACACTTTTATGGTTTTATGGTTAATATTTTGAATTACTTTTTATTTTTATATTTACTCTTTAAATTAAATTTTAGGTTAAAGGGGTCATATGACGTTGCTAAAAAGAACATTATGTTGTGTATTTGGTGTAATTTAAGTTTTAGTAATAATGATGTCAATTTTTTAGTTTTAGTTTATTTCATAAACATGTCTAAAATTTGTCTCTTTTTTTTACATTTATATTAATTTTATTTCAGTTTTAGCTATTTTAGTGCATCAACTTAAACTAAATGAAAATGAAAAATAAAAAGGGTCCCACTGTATATTAGGTGGCCTTAAGTAGTTAAGGCCACCTAATATAAAGTGGGACCTAAAAAATCTTTTTCTATATTTTATTTGAAATTTTATTTCAAGTAATGAAATTCAATTGAATATATTTTATGGTTTTAGTTTAAAATTAACTATAATAACCCTGTCAGGGATATTTCTAATAGTAAACTTCAGCCACGTTTATAACTTTAAGAAATTATTTGCCATTATACGACCCATTTTAAACACCAATAAATTTGATTTAGATACTGAAAATGTTGTCCGTCCGTCATTTACAGCCTACCTACTACCACAAACACACAAAAATAAATCTACTTTAAATAAACAGTAAAAACATAAGAAACACAAAATTTATTTGGGTTTGTGTTTGTGTCATTTTCCAGCATCATAACTTTGTACCTTCATGTCTCCATCCATCAGTGGGCAGCCAGCTGTCAGGGCTGTAACTCAGTCTGGACACCTGACCTTCCATGACTCCAGGGTCCTGCCCCAGTCTGAGCGGGAGCAGCAGGGCTGGCCTGCCACCTGTGAGTAACCAGAGAGCCGTCCAGTGCTGGGACAGTGTCACACACAGCAGAGCGAAACCTGAGAGAAAAGGTTTTCTCATGATGGTGATCACTTTGTTTCATTAGCACATAATCAATCCAGACGAATAAAGAAATGAGCAGGAACTTGACAAACATGCTGTTTAATGACCTGCATGTGCTGATGCCCTCAAAAGCATTACCATGATCTGCAATAGAGTAACTTCTCTTATTTCCCATTAATTTTACTGAATTGGTCAGTGATCATGGATATTCATAAATACAACATTCAGGAGTTTCAATACCCTGCAGTTGCACTTTAGGTATACTAAACTGGTATACTTAAAGTCTGCTAAATTGGAACAACTAATTGTGTACTTAATGCACTTTAATTGTGCGGAAGTAGTCCAACTAAAAATATACTGAAGTATATTTGATTGTGCTAAAGTGGAACTATTGCAAGTATACTTCAGGTACACTTTAAATATCATGCATTTAAAGACCGATATTATTCAAAGATCATCCTCATCAATAGTGAAATTAAAACACATTTGTGACCCTGGACCACAAAACCAGTCATAAGTAGCTGGGGTATATTTGTAGCAATAGCCAACAATAAATTGTATGGGTCAAAATTATAGATTTTTCTTTTATGCCAAAAATCATTAGGATATTAAGTAAAGATCATGTTCCATGAAAATATTTTGGAAATTTCTTACCGTAAATTTTGGATTTGTAATATGCATTGCAAAGAACTTCATTTGGACAACTTTAAAGGCGATTTCCTCAAAATTGTTTTTTTTGCACCATCAGTTTACAGATTTTCAAATAGTTGTATCTCGGCCAAATATCGTCATATCCTAACAAACCATACATCAATGGAAAGCTTATTTATTCAGATTATATATAAATCTCAATTTCAAAAAAATTGACCCTTATGACTGGTTTAGTGGTCCAGGGTCACATTTTAGGTTCAATATTGTGGTTCGAAATGTGCATTGTACACAAGTATTACTCCAAAAAAAAGTTTCATTTAAATTTTTTGATCACTAAGTCTTGAGCGATATTTCAGTAAATATATTAATAGATTTGAACTATACTTAGTATGAAATAAATGTATTTTAAGTATATTACTTTTTTACTAGTTTATATATACTATATGGACTAAAGTACACTATATGGGTGTAAAAGTGGCCACTGCTCTGCTGATTAATAGCTGAAGAGTTCCAAACTTCCACTGGCATCAATATCAGCACAAAAACTTCATGGAATGAGTTTCCATGGCCGAGCAGCTGCATGGAAGTCTCACCAAGTATAATGCCAAGCGTCGGATGGAATGGTGTAAAATACGCCACCACTGGACTCTGGAGCAGTGGAAACCTGTTCTGTGGAGTGACGAATCACGCTTCTGTTCGGCAGTCTGATGGACAAGTCTAGGTTTGGCAGATGCCAGGAGAATGTTACCTGCCTGCCTTCATTGTACATTCCAAGACTAAAGCATACCACGTTTTCAAGTTTGTGGGAACAGTTTGAGGAAGACCCCTTTCTACACCAGCATGACTGTGGCACAAAGCAAGGTCCATAAAGTCATGGTTGGATAAGTTTGGTGTGGAAGAACTTGACTTTGAAGAGACAAATTGAAGGCACATTGATACTCCACCCAAAAATGGAAATTCTGTCTTCTTTTGTCACCCTCATGTCATGTCATTTCAAACCTGTATGACGTTCTTCTGTGGAACACAAAAATAAAATATTTAGAAGTTCTTGGAAATTGAAACTGGTGGCGACATTCTTGAAAATGCTTCATCTTTTATGTTCAATTGAAGAAGGAAGTCATACAGGTTTGAAATAACAAGAGGGTGAGTAAAGAAGACAGAATTTGCATTTGTGGGTGAACTATCCTTTTAAAAACTGCAGAGCTTACTTCTGTCCTAAAAGGTTTGTACATAATCTATTTCTTTATGGAGAACATGATCGGGAGTTTTACTTCCAGTTGTTTTGCTCTATTAAATGATTAACTAAGGAAATCCCAAAGGACAGTCTTCCACTTCAAAGGCCTCCATCTAATCACTCCATTTTCTTTCAAAATGTATGCAGCATAATGAGCCCAGCTCTCCTGCGTGAGCCATACGGGAACATTGTTATGTGAAGGGATGCTGGGATCACTCGGCTGGCCTGGTCAGGATAATTATACTGTACATGCTGATGCTAGGAGATAAATAGCATGACTTTATCAGTCAGCACCTCTCCAAATAATCCCATGCATCACCACTGCCACTCCAACTGCAGGACACAACCGCTAACAGAAAGAGAATAAATAAATACTTAATGACGAAATATGTTAAAAATTAAACGAGAACTTAATGCTGGTAGACTACATTAGCCAATATCATGTTGTTATGTATCACGTCATGTTATTTGTATGAATCCCTGAACACATTTTTAACAATTAGGTATGTACTAATAAAAATATTCTAGCAATGCAATCTTTAACAAAAAAATCAGGTGGTATAACTGTCAATTATTGAATTAAATATTTATATAAAGCTTTGTCACATTTTTATTTTAAATCGGGTTTTAGCATTAGAAAGCCTTCCATGTCATGAAATGCTCAAATTCATAATTTCACATTTAAACTCTCAACATGGATGTGAATGTACGTTTTGAATTGCATATGAATGTATTTTAGAACAGACAGAAGCATCAAGTCTTTGACCCATTTAATAGGACCTATGTATTATTCCTGCTGTGAAACGCATGAATTGTTATGCAGAAGCAGTAGCGAAACAAATAAAGCTTTATAAAATTGCATTGTTTTGAATCACTTCCACATATCAAAACAAACTGAAAGGCCAGAAGACCGGTTTCAAACAAAAGAAATGGGAGGATGACAGAAATACCATTTAAAGAACACTTGTTCTTCTGTGCCAGCAGAAACAGTAGGCATGTGTATACTGTAGATGTGTGCAAGTAAACAAGAATCCCACTTATAACACTTACATCACTCAACTCAATGGTCTATGCGTTCGTTCAATGCTCTCCCTAATTAACATCTTGATCCCGTCATCAAAGAGAACCAGCTAAAATAGCACAGCGCTGTTTTCCATGAGGCTTTAGACCCACGTGCTGAAGATCCAACAGCCTCCCCAGAAACTCAAACAAGGCTCAGCTGCTAGGCAACTACAGCCGCCCCAGAGAAAGAAGACCAAGTCTTTCACCAGCAGCACTGGAAACATTACATAAGATCTTAAGGGTTGGAGCTACAGGACTGAAACCGATATGCAATGAATACAAGAGAAACTGGGATTGCAAAATAACTCTTTATGAGAAGAACAATTTTTAAACAACACACAGTACAGAGGATTATTAGGTTTATAAATACTAAAGAATTTAAAGAGTCACGAATTCAACAGTTTTGTCCCTGAGAAACAAGACTCGGTATCTGAACATGTATCTGCAAAACTATTGCAGTTACATATCTGCAAAAACTATTGCAGTTAGAAAGAAAATGAGTTGTGTTCAGTCATTCTGTGTTGTGTTTATGTTTTGGTCACAAGGGCGGCGCTATTTTAGTGCTGTGTGTACATTGTATTGTATTATATAATAATAAAGACTTTTTACACTACACATAACCCTGAGCTAATATGTTTTTCATAACGCTAAAGGAGCTGTAAAAGATGTTAGCTATTTGGTTAACTTCCGAAAGACTGAGGGCCAGATTTACTAAACAAGGCAAATTAGCACGAGAGCACAATTCCCAAAAAAAAGCACAAATGGGCGCGGAAATTTCTGTAAGTGATTTACTGACAATGTTCTAAATAAAGAACACAGACGCAACGTCTTATTTCCACAATGACCAACGCAATCTACCAGAAAAATTAGCGTAAGATCGTAAACAAGCAGAGCCGATGCTAATCTATAGATACTCCCTTCTACCTCACACTCTGTTCTCTGCGGTGCCTCCTGCTGGCAGCAACAATCACAGCCATGTCAAGCGCAAAATGTGTTAAAACGTGCTTTTTTGGGGCGGTAAAAATGGCGCAAATAAAAGCAGTAAATTCACTACCGCAAACCTTAGTAAATCATGTTGCGTGATTCATTTAAATACTCTCCTCCCATAAATCTGGCATCTGCTTCAGCCGCAAAAATCACTCATTTTTAAAAATAATTTTTCACTGTGCATCTTCAGTAATTCCTGACAGTACTTTTTTTTACGCTAAAAGAGGGTTTGCGAAATCTAGTCATTATAATAAGAATCCGATTGGACGTTTGACTGGAAGTTTCATGTAAAAAACTAAAAAGTTGCCCATGCGCATTTTGCTTGTGTTCAATTTGATCACGCAAATATGCTGTGTTGACCAACAGAAAGCTGCTTGGTTTGAAAGTGACAGTGTGTTTAAGGTCACATACAGTTGCTAGTTAAAATTCGTTGGCATTTCAATAGAAATGTAAGAATTTTGTGTCAGGGCAAAAACAATCCATATGCAGATTTCTCTTCAGATTCAAGTTTTTCATGTGAATTCACCACATCGAGCAATGGAAAGCTGATTGGTTTGAAAGTTAATTCCTGGCTGAGCAGTGCTTCATACACAATTCACAATGGACTTTTTATGCCCATTAAAATTCACTAATGTGAACGTGCCTTTAACTACTGAATTAATGAGTGTTCACATTTACAGTTGCTTAGCGAAATTTTGCAGGCGAAATCCAGTCATTTCAAGTCAAGTCAAGCCGAAAAAGTTCCCTACCCAGTTTCCGCTCATATTCGAGTTGGTCATGTGAATTCCCAGAGCTGAACAACAGGAAGCTGCTTGATTTGAAAGAGATATCTGGGTGATCAATGCTTTATACATCTCTATTGACAACAGACCTTTTTTGCCCCCAAAATTTTGCTGATATTTCAGCAAAATATATTTCAGTGTGACCACACCTTTAGACCATTCCCTTTCATTAGAGTAAAAAGCCTAAACGTGCAATGTTATTGTTATACAGTATGTGTCATTAAAGTGATTGAAGAACAGCGTTCGCTCCAGTCATTCATACACACGTGTATGAGTGTGAGAGATGTGTCAGAGTTCTCGTGGGATGATGGTGAAGGGCCGTATAGGGCAGCTGGACTCCAGCTCCAATGCGGTGTGGAAGCAGTCGGGAGCCTGTGCGCTGCCTCTGCTCTCCAGCGCCTCCCCTAGACCGCTCCAGGCCTCGTGTGCCGTGTTCTCCACCTGTATCGCGTCCCTTAGCATCTTCTCCCCGAGACCCACGCGGCCTGTGCGCACCAACAACTTCCCCTGTGGACAGGAAGAGAGGGAGAAAGCAATTATTTTTTTTTGTTCTGTTGTGTAACGACGTATTTTTACAGAACTGAACGTTTGACTTGTTTTGTGGGCAAGAAAAACATGAGTGCGGGGAGTTTGTGATGGTGTGCTGATGTTACACATAACTCTATACATAAAAGTGTTTGTATGGGTAAAGTGGAAAGTGTTAAGGCCCGTTCACACCAAGCACAATATCTATAAACATAACGATAAAGATATAGTTCTAAAAATCGTTCTCAATATTAAAGAATAGTCCACACCACAGCTATAACGATAAAGGCACAGAGAAACGATATTGTTGGAATCACTTTCAGAACGATCTTTTCCAGCTAATGAACGATAAAAAACATTGACAGCCAATCGGAATCAATCCTGCTATAACGAGCTCGAGAATTTAAAGCGGCAGATGAGCGTGCCCTTACAGACGATATCGTCCACTGGTGTGGACACTAATATCGTTATCTTTATAGTTATCGTTCTTGGTGTGAATGGGGCTTGTAATCAGTACAAAACAGTTTCAGGTTACACAACAATAACCTACTGTAAATGGAGACATTTTTTCTTCGCATTTTGCAAAAGTTTCACAAGCAGACCACAACACTGTCAAAAACATCTCTATTCACACAGATCCACGAAAAAGAATACAAACTTCTGTCATGAAACTCTGGATGGCACAGGCCGATAGGTTCTGAATCGTTCTAATATAATCACATCATCATTCACATGGCACAGCTGATTGTTTTCTTTTTGCATCAGCAGCCAATGAGCTTGCTGCTCAACATTCAAATACTTGGCTAGTGCTTGCTGCAGCAGTTATAGAGCGCTTTAGAAACCCTCCACCTTCCCAGCTCCACCTGTCTAGATCTGCAAAAGGTAATTTCATGTGTTATATATGGGGTTTTTTCATGTATGTTATATGTGCAGCAGCAGTATTTCTTACATGCTACAGCAGCACGTCTGTGGATGTATTGGCAGTAGCAAGTCTCAGTACTTGCAGCAGCAGTAGCATAGCAGATCTATTCTGCCAAGACCAAACACATTAACACTGCCATGTATACTACCATGCAAAACTGTCATGACAGTTTCCATGTCAGGAAAGAAAAAACACTTTTAAGCCATTTAGAGGTCAAACAAATATAAAAATATATCAAAATGGACAAAGGTTGATGAATATTGAGGTTCATGTAGTACAAACAGTAAAGCATTTTTTTTTTTGGCTTACACATACAGTACACGTACATACATCCTTGCAGCTTACTATTACACTTATAAAATGTACAGTCTTCATTTCCAGGAAAATGAACTAAAACCATTTATTATAAATCATGGACTGCACTCTGTTTGTAAAAGTGCATATATGCTTATTTACTAATGCTTTGGCAACGTGTAGCCTTTTCCCCCGTGCCAATAAAGCTTCTTGAATCTGAAATCTCAATGTAATTTATATTGTAAATTAACAGTATGGCATGAAAAGTGTGTTTAGAACAGCAGTGTATGTTGGTGTGTATGCCTAGAGTTAAATTGTGTTACTTTCCCTAATCCTGCAAACAACAGCATGATTTACTCATTGCAATTACATTTCATCGTCCCCTCTTTCAGCACACATACACACACCAATGCAGAGTAGTATTTCTGGGTGGCAGCACATGACTGCTGATTATGCAGGCACTTCAAAAGCACATCAGAGAGGAGAATGACTCCGCAGGGGAGAGTGAAAAGCGAGGCAGGAAATGAGGCTCTCACATACACAAGTGAAAGAAGCAGCCACAGGCAGAGCATGTTTTGAAAGAACGATCATAACACAGCTGCAGGAATACACTGACTGACAGGCCCGTGGACCAATCGCAGCTCAGCAAGAGGCTGTACTGGTGATTCTATCTGGAGGACTGAACAGCAAAGCACAAGCTGGCGGTTTTACAATGTAAATAGACTTGAGGCTGGCACATGTGGACATAAAAGAGCTCAGTTTTATGTAGTGATGTAGAGGTGCCTCTTGAAGAACTGACGTAGGGTCACAGCCCTGCATCTGAACACTGTAATCCAACGGGATACTGATCCCATCCAGCTGGGACCAGCTACGATTACAAGTGTCAGCTACTAGACAGACAACACACACACACACACACACAGTACAAACACTAATTCATGTGTTTTCAAGCAGACAAACACAGATACCCCACTGATTCATGTGTAAACACACAGCTAGATTTACAGAAAAACACAGCAGCCAGAACATTTACACATGCAGTGACCTGTATTCTCCTTGTTGTTTCTTTAATCGAAAAGAAACCTGGAATCGTATTATGACTTGGTGCAACTACGATAAAAATATTAATTCACATTTTAAAGCAAAGCACGGCACTGTGTTCATTTCCACATGTGCAGCTTACAATCCAGTGTTTTCAGTCTTTCAGAGCAAGTCGGTTTGCAGTAAGAGTTGCTCCACATGAATTCATCTCTACATTTGCTCTGCTCTTTGGGTCGCTTATAATATGCATTTGGGAACGCAATCAGATTTGTAATGAGAAACATTTATAAACCTGTTGCCAACAAAGGAAACGCTCAGTGCAGTTTTTGGCCAAAATAAAAGGTAGATGGTTTAATATTTGAAAATGAAGAAATTAAAATATAAATATTATTATTGTAATGTTACCGTAATATCAAACTATTTTTATTTTTAAAATAATTTCTATTTTTAATTGTACAGTGAAATATTACAATGGTAATATTTTTAATTTA